CCAATGACCCACTATTATACCAATGACCCACTATTATACCAATGACCCACTATTATACCAATGACCCACTGTTACACCATTGGCCCACTGTTATCCCAATGACCCACTATTATACCAATGACCCACTATTATACTAATGAACCACTATTATACCAATGGCCCACTATTATTTCAATTGCCCAAAGCCCTCAAGCAGGCCCCAAGGGAGTGAAGTACTGTTGGGGCTGCCATCTATGAAACAAGACGTTAGACTGGACCCTTCTCAGAAGATGCCTCGGCCCTTAATTGGAAGAGGACCAGGACTAACTCTCCACGTCTCTCCCGGGGATCTGCACTCCATCCCTTCGAATTAATATCACTAAAGCCAGTTATCGGCTCATTATCGCGTTCATTGCTGCGCACAGGTCAGCTGCCACGTGAATCCTGCACTCCCCTAAAGCCCATCGGAAGCCCGCTGGTTTCAAGAGGTGCGACATAAATGCAAGCCTTCCTAGCCCGCTTTGCAAGAGGTCGCTCAGAAAATGGAGAGGCAATCCCCATGAGGCCTCGCGAGCGGGTGGGATCCCACGGTTTCTTTCGGCATCTTACCCGACATCTGTTGCCACAGCAACCAGCACCGCAGCACCCTTCACCCCCAGCTCGTATGGCGGAACACGCAGGACACAGGATCTGTGGGACAGAAAGATTTCCAAAAATTAATCGGAGCGAAATTACGAGCAAGGAATGGTAACCAACGCTGGCGTGGAGAAACTAGGATCAGGAATAAAATGTTGCAGAACCTACAGGAAGGATATTATTAAATTCGAAAGGGTGTGGAAAAGATTTTACAAGGATGTTCCCGAGAATGGAGGGCTTGAGTTATAAGGTGAGGCTGGATAGCCTGGGACTTTTTTTCCCTGGATTGTAGGAAGTCGAGAGTTGACCTTATATAGAGGTTTATAAAATTATTAGGGGTCTGGATAGGGTTAATAGTAGATAGCAAGACCTGCAGATGCTGGAGTCAGAGACAACACAGGGTGGGACTGGAGGAACACAGCAGACCAGGCAGCATCAGAGGAGCAGGAAAGTCGGCATTTCGGGTCAGAACCTTTCTTCAGAAAAATGTCTTATCCATTGGATTGGGGATTTCAAGACTAGGGGGCATGTTTTAAAGGTTTGTTTTTAAACTTGAAAGGGCTCAGGAAAAATCTACAAGGATGTTGCCCGGGTTGGAGGGTTTCAGCTATAGGGGGAGGCTGAAAAGGCTGGGGGTATTTTCCCTGGACCCTCAGAGGCTGAGGGGTGACTTTATAGAGGTTTGTAAAATCATGATAGATATTGATAAGGTGAATAGCAAAACAGCAGCGTAGCGGAGTCCAAAACTAGAGGGCATAAGTTTAAAAGTGAGCGGGAAAGATTTAAAAGGGACATAAGGGGCAACTTTTTCACGCAGAGGGTGGTACATGTATGGAATGAACTGCCAGGGGAAGTGCTGGAGGCTGGTACAGTTACAACATTTCAATGACATCTGGATACGTACATGAATAGGAAAGGTCTCGAGCGATATGGGCCAAATGCTGGCAAATTGGACTAGTTGAGTTTGGGAAACTTGGTCAGCATGGACAAGTTGGGCTGAAGGGCCTGTTTCCATGCTGTGCAACTCTATGACCAAGGCCTCAAACTGTAAATTTGAGCAAAGGTTGCAAGTGAATCTTTTGTTTCCGAGCCTGAGTGTGTACCTGGAGGCAGAATTTTGGTTTCAAATAATCAAAAGATGAACCATATCTTTATCGACGTACACAAGGTCAGCCGACCCTGTGAATTAAACATTAAAAATAAGACAAAGAACTGCGGACAATGGAAATATCTGAAACAGACAAAAGCAAAAATTACTGGAGAAACTGGAACTCAAAACGTTAACTCTTGTTTGTTTTTTCTCTCCACAGATGCTGCCAGACCTGTTGAGTTTCTCCAGCAATTTCTGTTCTTGTTTGAAATTTCCAGTGTCCACACAGCTCGTTGCTTTTCTCTTCATTTGTTGCAAAGACCCTGTACCTTTCATAAGAAAATACCAGCGAAATTTGCGAATGGCACATTCAGGACTCAGCTGTTTTGCCCACCTGAAAGTGGATCTCCCGTACGTTAATTTCGAAGCTTGTTGGCTGATGGCATCCCACTGCATCCTATACAGACGTGGTCTATTTGCTCAGAGACAACGGACTCTTTAAATAAATTCAATTCCTCCACAGGCTCGGGAGAGAATTGTCACTATAATTTCCTCTACCATCTGCCTCAGCTATTTGCTGACTGAAGAGTCATAGTCACACAGCACAGAAACAGGCCCTTCGACCCAACTTATCCATGCTGACCAGGTTTCCCAAACTGAACTAGTCACGTTTGGCCCATATCCCTCTAAACCTTTTCTATCCATGTAGCTGTCTAAATGTCTTTTAAATATTGTAACTGTACCAGCTTCCACCATTTCCTCTGGCAGTTCATTCCACACATGCACCACCAGAAATAAAAGTTGCCCCTCAGGTCCCTTTTGAATCTTTCCCTCCTCACCTTAAACCTATGCCCTCTAGTTTTGAATTCCCTTACCCTGTGGGAAAAGACCTTGACTATTCACCTTATCTACGCCTCGCCTGATTTTATAAGCCTACATAAGGTAACCCCTCAGCCTCCTACGCGAAAAAGTCCCAGCCTATTCAGCTTTTTGGTGCTGTATGACTATACGACTCTAAGGAAAATACCCTGCTGGGTTCGTACATCGCGTCAGGAAGTGTCTGATGACTGAGCATCAGGGCACCAGTACACAAGACGGCACATTCGAATAGTAACCCCCAGCACTTCCTTCCTGCTGTTTAATCAAAATAAAATGGCCTGCTCATGCCCACCCAATTGCCTACACCATTTATGGCATGGGCAATGTATTCGCAGACAAAGGTTCACAATCTGTCCCTGTTGGAGTTCTAGTCACCCCTCTGTATTCTGGGAGTCACCTCAGGGAGGGCTGAGAAGGAGAGGTAGCTACAGGCCCTAGCTTACGGGTCCCACCACGAATGCACCCCGGTTCAAAAATGAGCCAAACGGTGGTACACAATATCCAGCCTAACGACAATGTTTTCACTAGAGCGTCGGAGGTTGAGGGGGGCAGCCTGATAGCATTATATAAAATTATGTCGGACATGGATGGGGTGGATAGCCAAAGCCTCCTAGGCCAGGATGGAAACATCAAATACTAGGGGGTATAGTAGGAACTGCCAATGCTGGAGAATCTGATATAACAAGGTGTAGAGCTGGATGAACACAACAGGTCAAGCAGCATTAGAGGAGCAGGAAGGCTGACGTTTCGGGCCTAGACCCTTCTTCAGCCGACAGAAAACGTCAGCTTTCCTGCTCCTCTGATGCTGCTTGGCCTGCTGTGTTCATCCAGCTCTACACCTTGTTATATCAAATACTAGGGGGGTGTAGGCTTAAGGTGAGAGGGGGATGTGTGAGAGAAGTTTCTTTACAGAAGATGATAGGCGACCAGAAGGATTTTGATAAGGATGTTGCTGGGGTTGGAGGGTCTGAGCTACAGGGAGAGGGCTGGGGCTATTTTCATGGGAACGTAGGAGGCTGAGGAGTGACCTTATAGAGGTTTATAAAATCATGAGAGGCATGGATAGGGTGAATAGCCAAGGTCTTTTCACTAGGTCGAGGCATTCCAAAGCTAGAGGGCATATTTTTTAAGGTGGGAGGAGAAAGATTTAAAAGGGACCTGAGGGGCAACTTTTTCACGCAGAGGGTGGTTCATGTGTGGAATGAGCTGCCTGAGGAAGCTGTAGGTACAGGTACAGTTGTAACATTTAAAAGACATTTGGATACTTACATCAATAGGAAAGGTTTGGAGGGATACGGGCCACACAGAGGCAAGTGGGACGAGTTTAGTTTGGGAAACTTGGTTGCAGGGAGGAGTTGGCCTGAAGGGTCTGTTTCTGTGCTGCATGGCTCTGTGACTGAAGAGGAGTCATATCTGATCTGAAACATAAACTCCATCTCTCTCTCTCTCCACGCATGCTGACAGTCCTTGGTTTAGTTTCTTCATCATTTTCCTATTTCAGATCTCCAGTCTCTGCAGTACTCTTTTATTATTTTTTTCTTCTTGTCTGTATAGCCGTTGTTTCCTGCTCCCGATTACAACATGGCACTAGCTTCAGGTAGTGAGGGTGGGGCAGGATGGGGATGGAGGGTCACGGGGAGAACGGAGATCGAGGGCAGAACAGATGGGCCGAGCGGTGTGACTCTACTCTCTTATCTGACGGTCTAAGGTGGCAGAGAGGATTCGCAACGCCTTCCACGGCCAATCAGCAAGGCCGATACTCAGCATCCCAAGAATAGCCGCCAGCAAGTGAGGCAGATGCAGGAAGCCATGGCGAAGGGTCAGTGGGGATGGATGGGAGCGTGCCTGGGTGAGGTAGACCATCTAGGGCGGCATGGTGGCTCAGTGGTTAGCACTGCTACCTCACGGTGCCAGGGACCCTGGTCCTATCCCAGCCTGGGGAAGACCATCTGTGTGGCGTTTGAACAATCTCTGCGTGGGTTTCCTCCCACAGTCCAAAGATGTGCAGGTCAGGTCAGTTGGCCTTGAGGAAATGCAGAGTCACAGGGATAGAGTAGAGGGATGGGTCTGGGTGGGATGCTTTTCAGAAGGTTGGTGTTGACTCAATGGGCCGAATGGCCTGCTTCAACACTGCGTAGGGATTCTACGATCTAGAAATCGATGGATGGCACACTTACCAAAAGCCCACCTCCAACAATTCCTCCCATCAGCCAGACCTGCAGCGTGATGTGATCAGTCCATTCTCTCTCTGCATTGGGGAACATGAGGAGGATATTGGCTATGATGCATATGAAGGCCAAGGGCAAGAGGACCAGGCCAATGCAGCGGGCACATTTCCCGGTACACATCGTCGCACAGTGCGCTCTAACTGAAGCCTCCTGCTCGCCAGGCTCGGAGACTACCTCTCCTTCCCTTTTAATGGGTGGACTCTGACCGACTTGTGGGAACTGTTACAATCTGGTACCGTACTGTCATCACTATTTACTCACCGATAAGGGAGGCCAGTCACCTCATTGTACAATCAGAACTAGATAGCAAGCGACAAGATAACCACTGGACTTACAAAGATTTATTGGTGGGGGCATGGGGAAATACCACTGAGGTAAGTACCAAACAGTGACTGGGATGTGACTGAAACAATCAATTATCATTTGCACTATGGTAAGGGACAAACATTAATGTGATAAAATAATGAAAGGTTTACTCATATCAATATGCAAATACACAATACAACCGTCCAGGGACAAAGTATCCCGCATGCTTGGCCCACATCCCCTCCCTTCACCGCCAACGCTCAGTAGCAACAGTGTGCACCGTCTAAAAGATGCGCTGTAGAAATTTTCCAAGGCAGTGCCTTCCAAATCCACGACCACTTCCACCTAGAAAGACAACAGCAGCAGATACGTGGGAATACCACCTCCTCCAAGTTGCCCTCCGAGCCACTCCCCATCCTGACTTGCATATATATCGGCCGTGAATTAATTGAACTCTGTCTCCAGAATACAAGCCTGTATTTTAGTCCTCGTCTCCAACTAGCCCTGATAATCCTTCATTCCCCTGCCTAACAGGAGTGGAT